TCAGCCAGCATTCCTGTTCCTATGTTAATGAATGGGGCAGCTCATTGGTGCCTGCTAGGTCTTTTGCCTCTGGAAATGCCTCTCCCAAATGCACTCCACACAGGGGAACTGCTTCCCCGTGCAACCCAGGGGACCTTCAGAACATGCTGTCTGCTCCCAGGTCTCCCCTCTCCTTCCCCATGGGAGTATGGGAGCACCACCAAGCCTGCCAGGCATGATCTTGGTGATGGCATGGATCTCCAAAACTTCAGACGGCATTCAGCTGTTTATAAAAACTTGTGGCTGTCCGCCCGTCTCATTTCCCCATTTAGTGGTTTTGGGGAAGAGTTTTTCTTATGCAATTACATGCTCGCACTTTCTCTCTCTCTGTCTCTCTCTCTCTCCTGTCTTCATGATCAGGGCTCCCTTTATCCCAGTACCTGCATATTTTCTCTCCCCTAAATAAAATTTCTGTAGCTCCTATCTTCCATGATGTGGCAGTTTTTTCACCTCTAATTGTGCATTTTTGCTATCTTAATCCTTATCGACTTCTTGGGTGTTCAGAATCATTTGGTATTTATCTAGCTGTGTTTGAGAGATGAGGCAAACTTATGGTCTCCCTACTCTGCCATCTTAACTCCTCTCATTGATAATGATTTATTGCTTAGATATCTAAATTTTCCAAATATTTCTCTTACTATGGTAGATATATGGTTTGCAACTGTCAGAACCATTAATAGAGACTGCAGTGATATACACTACTTACAATCGTGTTAAAGCCTTTGTTTCCATGTAAAATGCTTTGCTTAATTGCACAGTAGATAATAACTATCTTTTTTTCTTGAGAGAGAATGCATGCGTGTGCACGCAGTTTGGGGAGGGGCAGAAGATGAGGGAGAAAGAATTTTTTTAAGTTTATTCCTTTTTGAGTGGGGTTAGGGACCAAATGAGAGGGAGAGAGAGGATCCCAAGCAGGCTCCATGCTGATCGCATGGAGCCTGATGTGCGGCTCTATCCCATGAACTGTGAGATCATAACCTGAGCTGAAATCAAGAGTTGGATGCTCAACCAAGTGAGCCACTCAGGCTCCCCGGAGAGGGAGAATCTTCAGTAGGCTCCATGCCTAACGCAGAGCCTGATGTGGGACTTGGTTGATTTCAGGACTGTGAGATCGTGACCTATACCAAAATCAAGAGCTGGACGCCTGATTGAGTCACCCAGGCACCCAGATAATACTAACATCTGATTGTTCTTTTTGAATGTTTGTTCCTTTTATCAACACTGTAAATATTATTATAGGAATTTTACTATTTCAAAGACTTTACTGTGTGAAGCTAATTTATAGCATTCTTCAAACATTATTTATTTACTTGTTTGTTTATTTATAATGTTTATTTTTTGAGAGGGAGAGAGACACAGAGTGTGAGTGGGGGAAGGACAGAGGCAGAAGGAGACACAGAATCTGAAGCAGGTTCCAGGCTCTGAGCTGTCAGCACAGAGGCTGACGGGGTTTGAACCCACAAACCATGAGATCATAACCTGAGCCAAAGTCGGATGCTTAACCGACTGAGCCACCCAGGTGCCCCCAAACCTTTTTTTAGTATTGCTAATGATTTTCGTTGAATTTTGAGCACTGACAGAATGTGCTTAGCACTTTAAACTTTCATACAGCTTTTGAACATGATTTGCATCTAATATCGTTGATGCAGAATGAACAAACATTTTAGAATGTCTCCAGACCAGTGCGGTGGGGGGGGGGGGGG